AGGGTTCTTTGTAGACAGTAAGTAGTTTTTATCCACAATCTAGGTCTACCTTGCTCGTCTGTCTCGTTGTGTCAGTATTGAAAGTTGCTCCCGAACCTGCGGCCGCATATCTGCTCGTGATTCACAGACCTACCTTGTCTACAGTTTCCGGCGCCTCGTCTATCACAAATTTTCACACCATCACGTGGAATGGGTTTAACAAGTGCTCGGTTGTTTAGCCATTCTGCCCTAAAATGTTGAGGGTTTCATCCAAACCTTTCAAGTGTCTCTTCTCCACCAAATGTTTTACCAAAGAACCCTTACAAAAAACTGAAAGTTATCCCGCTGAACGGCTGGGATATACAGTTCACTGTATTATCAGAAATCTAAGTGCGTAAAAAGCAAAGCCCCATACTCTGAGATCCACGAGTGTGGAAGCTTCGCAGATTCCCCAGATAGATATTTTGCAACTGTTCATAAGAGGTAGAAACACCCCGTTGATCTCGGTAAGGGGTGTTAGTCACGGTCCCGTAATGCCTCTAGGGGATAGACTTCGGACGTATTCTATGAAATTTTTCACCAGATACCACTCATTATTTGCTCTGTTTCGTGACTTTGGAGTAGACAGATTTTGGGTAGCTTGAGACCGAGCGTAATGCCATGATTTGGCAAAATCTTCTATATCTGCATCAATATCTGAGCAACAATGAACTAACCAACATTGTCCGGGATTATTTCTGCCAATAAGTCGTGAGTGAGCATCACATGAGCTACAGTATGGTGTTTTTACATGACATAACTATCTTGCTAGGCTCATCCTAGTCCCTCTGTATCCTGGCTTTGTTTTAACTTGATCTGTTCGCTAGGGAGTGTAGCTGATTTGTTCAGGTATCCTCAGCGCTTGGAACAAGGTAACTTGGCTTATTGGCTTGCGTAACCTAATTACGTAATACACCTATCGGCAGGTGCTTTTAATGTAGGAGAATCTACCACTGAAGCCATAAGCGAAACAAGCAGGGGATCTTAATTTACTCGAGCCAGAACGAACTTAGGACGCAGTCTGTTTGTTTCTTGAAGCAGCTTTCGCCGTTATATCGTGTAGGTCCCAATTTCGGTACAAGGAGCAGGCTTCACAGGCACTCCAGTCAAAATGGGGATTTTGAGATCTTTTGCTCGCCCACAGACAGGTCATTACACGACAAGCCTCATTTTATTTGCTGCTCAGTCGAAAAAAAACTGCAAACTCGATTGTGTCGGTCGTCCAGAAGGGCTGTTCACTTGGGAGTTCCGGACCAACTTCGGCTAGAATGTTTTTAACCGGATTAATTGCTGTGTGATGCAGGACATGTAGTTTAACCTAAAAATGCAAATGAGTAGAATAAAAGGTTTTTCCGCCAGGTGGTTCATTCACCCTCTCTCCTCACCTACTGTGATAATCATCCACCATTGGTTCATGAGATAAACCACGCTGAAGGTGATTGTCTGATTAAAGTGCATTTCGCGTGTGAATGACCTATTATGAAATATTGAGCGCCTGTGCCAACTCTCTGCAGAAGTTAATCATCTCATGCTTTAGCTGTTCCAGACGTGTACCGATTAACCACTAGAGAGTTTTGAGGTTAAAAACACTAAAATTTTCGGGTTAACCTCGATGATATTCAGGTGTTCTTGAGGGAAGGTAATCGGTATACAACAACCGCCTCAGCATCCTCGGGTGACGTTTTTCAAATTCGCTCTTGATTGAGTGAAACATGCCAATAGAATACATTCTCCATCTTGGCATTCGTAGAAAACAACTCCTAGCCAGCCATTTTTTTTTCCAAAAAATTGTAATAGGCTCAATGAATAGGCTTATCAGTCAAGGCTATAACTTTACTGCGAATAACGATTTTACCAGTTTCACAGACCCAAATCGGAATTCCAGTTGAAACTAGATGGCAAATCCCAATAAACACGAGGACAGCTTCCTCCTGAAGTTCACCGGTACACACCTGCTGTTGCCCTCTCAAACCAAAGACAACAAAAGCGCAGTATTATCCCCAAATTCACATGGCTTCAGATTTTCACGGCTATCTCGTTTCGTCCATTGTATTGATAACCATTAGCCTTTGTAGCAGTCAGTCACTGGTGAGCTAGCCTCATTAGAGTAGACAAATGAACTGTCTCCAGTAGCCGTCATACAGTTTAATGCTCCAACTTTACCCGCGTGACTATACCTGTGTTGGGCGCCTCAGAACAAATTTAAAACATTCAGCTGGGCTAATGCAAATGGGTTTCTAAGCACTTCGATTCTTAGCCGATTTGCTCGCTTGAACATCAAAATGCTTAAGTGAGCCACAACTGAATCCCATTTTGATGATATTTGATATGGATTTTAGCTAAGTTGCAGCCCAGATTTTTAGGTAGCTTGAGAAGTTCGAAACCGCATTCAGATGATCGGTTTGATTTTTTCACGTGCTGGTACAATCTATGCTTTTGGTTGAGTATCTTGCTGTGGTCAAGAGCTGAGCTGAATTTGGTCAAATTGACCGGATGTTACTACTAGATACGCTTCACCCTTGAGTTGTAGTGTTAAGGGTAGGGATTCTGCTATATAGAGGAATTAAATCGAGGTTTATACTAATTCTGGTCCTATTTACCCATGAAAGGGTCACTGAACACTTTTGGCCGGTGAGACGTCGCCTACTTTATAGGATCTGACTAGCCACTGGAAGATTGCATAGAGTAAGCAAATTTAGGAAGTTTTCAAGGTGACCCCCTTATACTTAATTCTGTTAAAACTACCATCCTTCAGATATACGGATGTTTTTCACATCTCGGATTCTACATGTCCCTATTTCGTCGGATAGTTTTCTACCATACGTGAAAAAAGACTCAGGCCCAACCTTAAGATGAGACTCCTAGAGCATCAGGGTTTCCGAAACCGTGGAACTTTTGACAGACTCGAATGTGGTTCGTGCCATACAATGAGTTTCACAGTCGCGGGTGACAACTTCGGAAAGACTTAGATCTTACGACTGTGATTCTAAAACAAATTGTATTGCTTCATTATGACGGGTTTTTACTGTTACTTCTGTTCGCTCGATTGATTCAGCAGAGCATTTCGTGCGATGTGATGAGTGCCCACGATATGAACTGCATTCCTCCGCTGGAGTTACGGTCAGTTTGACGTGAATGGAGCACAATCTCAAATTTTTTTAAAACGAGCATTCTAACAGACAACTGAATACACAATCAAACCTAACATTCAATAATCAGGAACAAATTAATGAGAGGCATGAAATTTACCTGTTTCAGTGTGAATATCTACATCGGCTTGCATTTGGTTTGTGACCAACTAGCCAGTATTCGCTGGATTAATCAGTAAAGTGAAACAAAAGAATAAATCCAGGTTATACAATATTTGACTCCATTGATAAAAGTATGCTTTTTGTCACTGGGCATAGCATGACACTGGGTACTCCTTCGAATGAGGGAAGAGTCCTTGTTTAGATGTTTTTAATCTCTTGACAGGCATCCTGTTGAATTCCGTCCACCAGTAGATGTTCCATCTAAACATTATTCCTCATACTACCCAGTTTCTTGTTTGTGGCCGTTAAATGTTTCACATTTGGAAGCTGAACTCCTAATTGGTGTCCAACTGCAACGGGTCCACTTAACTCTTATTTCGCTCGTTCTTCGGGTCAGAATGATGCAAGGTGAACAGGTCTTACGAATCCTACTTTGCAAAGTCAGTTTGTTGGTCTTCCTGCCATTTTAGCTCCAGAGTGTAGCCCAATCTTCTGAAAATGTTGGAGTAAAAATCATCTCCATTAATATAATTAAGTACACCGAATCACCGAACATGATTGGCGTTAAAAGTGGACATCCAGATGGTGATGAAATGCATTCCACGTTTGGAAACCTGAATTAAACTGAAGAACAGTGCTCCTCATCCAGCTTTTCTGTCGCAATGCTTTCCCATTGATTGCCACTCTGACGGTTAGCCTTCATAGGCACATCGCCTCGAAGTTTGCTCTGCGCCACTTATTTTACATCTTCTAAGCAGGTGCGTGCAATCTCTTCAATAACACCTCTTACAAAGGTAGTCAAGTTGAGCCACGTCCCACTCATGTGTAGTCCCAATCATCCTGCTGTTCATCCCACGGTTCTCAGCTTGCCAAATTCGCAGGCCATCTGCTGCTAATCAGTTGGAATGTTGAACTGTACTAGAACTCTGGATGATGAACTTGGAGCCTATCACCTCACAGGTTTATGACTGCATTTATTCTTTCAATCGCCACCAATCTCCTGGTTCAGATGACTTTCCACTTTCATAGTTCAAAGATGGTTGCAAGATTTCCAGGTATTTCTTCGCTAACCTATATACCTGCATCTGGAAAAAGTAGGCTGTCCCCGACAACCATAGTGAGTGAGGCACCTAAATGAAGATCAACTTGACTCTAGTCGGAACCCGAGTCTTGGCATCACTTTTTCGTTGCCTTATGGTGGATCATGAAACGCTCATTCAAGAGAAGCCAGCTGGATACCGACCTGGTAGAATTTGCGTTGACCAAATATTCACACTTCGTTGGGCGCTAGAACAACACTATACATAGAAAGGACCCTCCCTATATGGAATGTTTGAATGATTGTCTTCTGGTGTAGGCACTTTGGTATGATTGGTGTAGGTTCCTTCCCTATCCAGTTTTATTCTTTCCTTCACAATATGCCATTCAGACAAATTATGGTTGTGTGGTAACGATGCCTCTGTATTGCACGCTGCTGTTATGCTCACAATGATGTTGAAAATCGTATTCTTCGTAAGTGTGGGACGGTTTAAACATGCCTCTTACACTCGTTGTCTGACCTAGCATTTCATGTGGTTCTGGAATGAACAATTTATTCCAAAGTGGCTACGGATCATTTTTACGACTGTTATGAAGCGGGCTGTCTTGTCTCCTTTATCAATAATCCCATTGTTGATCATCGTGGTTCCGTGTTCATCAGCTTGCGATATCCGAACCCGCTTTTTGTTTCAGACTCCAATCACAGACTGCCCGACCTCTTCTGAACATAACTTTGCTGTCATGCCACCAATGTGTGCTGTCAAACCAGACTCGCAGAAACTGTGTCGTTGGCCCACGCATTCGGACCCTAGTTCAGACCCAGCCCAACACTCGGATCACAACTTTAGGACCGTTTTACAAAAAGACAAAGAAAACCGGAATGAACCTCTACAATTAGTTTGCCCTGATCCTGAGTTCACCACAGATAAGAGACAGATCCAGTTCGAGGTAACAGAGTTTATTCCAAGTTTTTCCGGATTGTTTTGAAACTACACTAGTCACCAAAAAAGCATGTATACACAGGAGGGTGAAGCGTCCGTGTGGGAATTAGAACGACAATCTACCTGACCAGTTCAACAAAGACTTGTTACTAATTTATTTTAAAGTACGGCATTCTGAGGCAGATCCAATGCATTCTTCGGCTACTATGCATTTGCTCATTGCTCTACCTAAAGACCATTTCGTTGCAAAACAGAAATTTAATAAGTTACGATGCATAACAGTGCGGTCGGCATAATCAAACTTGACAGTCGCAATCCGTGGTCGGCCAAGGGCTAAACAAAATGAGTTCGGATGTATGCAGTTTTTGACAAGCTACACTACTAAACTCGACAGCATTGAGCAGACACATGATTATGCGCTTTGGAATTATCCGGTCCAACAGACTTGCAATCAGTGTGTCGTACCAACGTGGTGTCAGGGATGATAAGAGAAGTTGATGTCAGGTTTTCGACGATCAGTGACCAGAGAGATCGATGCTTGAAAATACGTTTTTCAATATCCATCGGTGATAAGGCGAGTGAAGCGGGCTAATATGCCATCGTATCACATAGGCTATGGATATAGATAAGAGTGCTGCCATTTCAAAATGATGAATTTTTATCCGGACTTGTGGAGCGTCTACGCTATTTTGGCAGATTCAGGTTAGAAATTAATTTTATAGTCCTCTCTGGTGAGGAGCTAATTCACACTCAGCACATTGTTCCATTCATGAAACTAGTTCAACCACAACGGCATAACGGAATGCCCCATTCTCAAACTGTTGAATGATTCATGAGTCTGGAGTATACCCACGCAATTTCCTAAATCAATCCATCTGTAAAATGTTTGGGGAATTAGACCATTTGTTATTTCATGAATGTGTTGATAACGATTCTGTAGATCGAAATGATAGATCTGGTTTGACCAAAAATAAAACCTGCCAAAACGCATGAGAATTTATAGGTTTATCTTATTCTGTGTTTGGCGATGGTAAGCTTCTTCTCCTTGTGCCACGAAATGTGATCACTTAGCGGTGCCTTTGGAAAGATGATGTCGATTGATAAGGGTTGCTCGAAATAAGTGAGACCCTGGAATTAGGTTTGACTGATTACCAACCACTAAAGACCCACCTATTCCGCGGCCCTAATTGCGCAATAGCTTGAATACATTCTTTTGAACTAGATGAGCATCCCCCTGGCTCACTTGCTTCTGCGTATTGTATGCATTCGTTCATTTTTAGCCTGAAAAACAGTCCACATTAGGCGCGCAAATTTCCGTGTTTTCTTACTTAATGATGTGCTACAAAAAATATGCATCGTTTTTCTGTGGATATTTCATCCATCCCAAGCACTTTCCAAACACACACGAAAAGACTCCACTTTATACTTTTTGTCCATGTGTTTGTTTCAAATATTCACGGTAATTACACTAGGAATAACATCTTCCATCTCAGTTTTTTGCTCTTCGCGGCTAATTTCTACCGAAATACCAAAAATTGGGTATTTTCTGTTACCTGTCATCCAATCGCGCATTGTGATCCGTCAAATGCAATATACCATACCATCATTTCCGATTCCGCATGTATATAAACGATTTTTGTTGACAAATGAGGTAAAGTTTTGGATATCCATAGTGTTACTTGCTTATCAGTATTCGGAAAATCATTCTCGTGTCAATTGGAACCACACCGGTAACTTGACTGTTCTATGTGCTCCGTGCTTGGTAGTCATATTGAGAAGCATCCTCGGCGCACCTCCGTTTTTCTTCTGTTTCTGCACCTGTAGAAGTTTCAACCGGTCTACGTTTACGTTGCAACGGCTTGCCTTGGCAAACAATGCAAAATAATTGCACATCACGAGGACATATTTTGTTTCATCAAACCCGATTGGCCTTCTGGATAGTTTGATCAAGAGGACAATGTAGATAGGGCCTTGTATGGTCTGTTTTTACAACGGGGTCCATATCAATATATGTATGCCTGACATTCTGATTGCATGACAGATTTACTGTCGTCAGTCTTTGGGAAAACCACATCACAAGCCTCACATCCGTCGACTTTAGTAACTTCTGTCTGGACACTCAACAACATAGTGGCATTTACCCTAGTTATTATTATCATCATCATCATCATCAACAACATCATGGAGAGCATGACATCAGAGTTCAACATCGATGCTTCACTGCCGTGGCGAGTAGCACCGACAGCACCCGACCGTGACGTGATCTCCTTCATATCCCTCTGCCCAGTGAAGGGTTGGCCGCCTCTCTGTTTACTCCACTCTGAATTCGACATGGAAAACAGCACACCCTTCGGCAAACAATGTTTCGGCATACGCAACACATGTCCCGACCAACACAAGTTCTGGTGCTGGACACATTCTTCAATGGACCGTTACACAACACAACCGAAAACGCGCTTCCTAACTGCCTCATTACGGATTCGCCGACACCAACCCACGCGAGTTATGGTTCTCTGACAACGATTGTCGAGCACCTGAAGACACCCCAGTTCCGCTGCTTGAATAGGCCAAGTCTCACAGTCATACAACAAAAAACCCGTACTGTAGCTTGATACACATGTCCCTCGAGGTTCAGTTTACCCTGGCCACCTCTCTTCAATAGTAAACGGTTAAAATTACTGATTATTCATACAAAATGAATAAATAGGAAGGAAGCTCTGTAACATAACATATGAAAACAGAATAGCTGATAATGGGGACTGTCAACCTCCCTCATCAGATCAGAAACAAAACTAGTTTGACTTGAACAATGTTCAAATGCTAACTCAAGTAGGAACAATGAAGGAACACGAGTTTGTGGAACCATGGGACTACACAAAAGACACCATAAACAAATATATCGAGATCGACCCGATTTATCAACAACTAAGGACAAGAGTAAGCCACAACCACAGAGATAAAATTGCACAAGGAACCAAGTGGGGGACTCAGAAAAAACAGGATCTATGGTGCTACCCCTTATGCTTGGCAAGTGGTGTATAGTAATCTTACCTCAGAGGGAAGCCACTACGAGGACCGGGATAATGCACGGGATACGGCATCCATTTATCAGGTCGTAGAAGAAGAAGAAAAAATTATGGAAGCTTCCGGAATCGGTTTCCTAGATAGATCGCTTTGGGTAGTGCCGTAACTGGTCTGCAAGTCGGTTGCATTGGAATTAACTGTTTTTCGTAATAGCGAACTCAGTCTTTGTTTCCTTCAGTTAACAATTGTGATTTGTGTGCATAACGGGTGCATTCGGAGTGGAACATACTGCACATTTGTCATTCGCCTCACTGCTAATCACAGTTGAATACTGCAAAATCTTAACGGAATTTGATTTAAGTGAGGCGGTTATTCACACATCCATGTTTCTTCGGAATTGTGCTACTAGAACGGAGAGGCTTCATACATTAGATTTTAGGTATCCCTTTCTAAGGAAGCAAAAGGAATTCGAGCGCCCCTAGATTTTTTCGTGCCTTGTCAATTCCTGGATGATGAAGGGGATTGAAAACTTGCCTATGTGCTCTAGTAACCGTGAATATCAGGAAGAGCTACTAGAGAATAAGCGGGGTGTTGAAAAATGACCTAGAGTCACTTTCATGCTAACTACATAGACAGCAGCAAAATCAATTTCACTAGTCACTCGCACTTTTTACTCGACAGTAGATTCCTTTGATCTTCGGAGAGGAGAACAGTGCGAGTCAAAATGCTGACATTTCTTTAGAAATATTGCCACCTATTTCACACTCGATTGTGTAGCTTTCTGCCCGACGGTTATCATAGATTGACTATTCTGAATAAGTCAGAATACCGATTCTTTCGGTATCACACTGCCGGGGGGTGTCGATGCCACTGATGATCACCGTTCCTACTGCGAGGTATTATCACAATACAAAAACACTGCGTGTTCTGGTTTTCAAGTGTGAACCGTTCGCCGTAGTATAATAATTTGGTCGTCAACTCGAGACCCGGTACACATCTATGCGCCACAGGATGGTTGCGCTTTCGTAGAATAAATGGCTTGACTGGGACTTTGTAACATCCATATTTCTAACCGTTCCAAAATCTTTTCCGGCTATTTAAGTGGAGTTATTCATAAATTATCACTTTTTTCAAAGTTGATTAGGTTCAAATACACGTTTAGGGCAAACCTAAGTGGTATGTGTCAGATAACTCACATAGGGCATCCACCATTAGGAAGCCCACAAAAATTTGCTGCGCATCCGTATATTCATTCGAAAGTATATATGGTCGTTTGTGTGGTCACTTTGATGAAAGTCTTCGATGGCCTTTCCTGCTAGGCAGCGTCTTAGATATCAGAAATCGTCTGCCAGATGCCTCATTCAGTTGCCCCAAAACCAGTCACTGTGCGTTTTCTCGTCGTACAACCTAACCTTTATCTTCCAAGTAAAGTCATGTCGAACCTTTACGCCATTCCGCCACAATGTCAAGCAATATCGTGAGTTATCAGGCGTTGAAGCAATTTTACGCAATCCTGTATGCCAGCGTACCAACTGCTGTTTGAATTGGCTAACAAGAATTGTTTCCAATAGCTGTATATTTCGCACGCCAAATCTATTTCTACACGTGCCTTTATTCAGCCTTTACATAAGATTTATACATGACACCAAAAAACTCGGGAGGCAATACCCAAGATAAAAGACGTTTGAATAAAAATACAACTAGTCCAGGTATTCGGAAGTGCAAGCTCATCTCGTACCATCGATCGTAAAACCAGTGGATACGGTTTCCACCAACCAATAGTGAAAAGGCTACATGTTTATTAGCGAAATACACTCATTTGCATATCGATCTGGTTTTGACGGGGTACTAGGTTGGAACCGCTAGGGCACTAAATGAATTCCTAAGAAGCTGGGAAGCCATTTGGAAGGACGGAAATTAAGGTTATGCATCTCATAAAACCAGAAGTGGATGAACTTGAATATAGCTTGTGCAATTCAACGTGAAAGGAATCGTTAACCCGTCCAGACTGGGTTGAATGGAGATAATGGGACGCTTTTATAAATCATACAGCCAACCCCCACTCGGTACTTCCTTACGGTCGGAAGAATGGGATGAATGCAGTGAACGAAGCAAACCACGTCGCACGTGGGTTACCGTACTGCTGCAACGAAAACACTGGGTATGAAATCATCCTCGTGAACCACGATCATCCCCATCTCGTACCACCACCGCAGGCACTGATCGAATGCGCTCTTTTTTGAGAGGAATCCTACGATCGAGGGTGTTTCCGGGGGTAAACCAAAAGTGGGAGTCTACAAAAAATTACGAACCAGATATTTTGAATCTGTGGATACAATCTGTTTTCAACAGGTTTTAATTCGGGAACCTTGATTCTTTTGGCTTTTTTACCACTTTAAGGACTCGTTGCAGTTGGGAGTTTCCTTCCTTCTCATTGCCAGTTGGTACTTCAAAAGCTGACAAATTCTGTGACACCATAGAGGTGGTCGTAGTAGGAGGCAAATATATTCAGAGGGAATCCCGCTATTATGTACTGTTCAACCTGAAGGGTTTTCACGCTGTTACACTTCTGGATCTTCAATGTTCTGAAGAACTTCACTTCCCCCACATAAATTCAACGGTTGTGTGTGTAATATAAGTACAATTGAGCCTCAGATGGTCTACAGACCCACCTGTTGCTGTACATCAACAGCAGTTATGTCAAGAGTGGCCTGGTGGTTGCGTTTAAGCCTTCCCCAACGGTTCTACTCCCATTTAAAAATCCTGGTCGGGACTTCTTCGTACATATGAACCCCTTTGAATACTGGAGAGCTGTTTCCTCCCTATTGGGAATCAGTAGTAGTGCCCACATTACGGCCCTAATATGCTTTTAGCCAGGGATGTTCCGGTCAGTGGGAGAACACCATTAAGTTCAACTGATCATTACTGGTTTTTGTGCTGTCTACCTCCGTGTCCAAAGGTCCAGGCTTCCGATTTTTGGGTTTTATCAATCATTCACTGAGCTCCTATTACCTTGACCAGACATGTCCCAGGACCTGAAAGTGAACCGGAATTGAAAAATGTTTTACCTCAAAAAGGGTTACGCAATAGAGCATAAGAAATCAGTTAAATAAAAAAAATAGACGGGTGGTAGGCGAGCCCGCTGTATATGTCGTTCAATGTCACTCTTTATTCTGCCCCCCCCCAATGCACTTATGAAGACGGAAATAGAGTCGGGCGATTTATTCGCCACGAATTTAGTGATAACGCCCGAACTTAAAATCCCACCTAGAACTCTGAAAGACTCCCGTATTGTCATCAGTGATACACCATTTCTTGTCGATGGACTCTTACATGTGGTAAGACAACTAAATGATAGTGTCGCATGCATCCAACAAATCACTCAATTTACTTAAATATTCTCATGATCGAGCTCTGTGTCATAAGAATCAAGATAGTTTTGTTCAAACTTTCTGATTTCCCCATGAAGGAATGCACTACATTTTAGTGAACCAAAGGTTGTTGCTTTCAGAATGGACATTCACTGAGTATTTGTGCTTCTATCTATGTGGGTTCATGAGTATCATACTGAGATGTAGTTTGCGACCAAAAAACGACCAAGTAGTCGTCCTAGTGTTAGTGCATTTAGGTAATTGCTATCTCGGTTAGCGTCTTGTAGGCGTTACAACATATCTATCTACCTCCAAGCTCCAGAGACAAGGAAACCACGTGACCGTCCCAGTGCTCATTTAGTGGTCCTTGAGCTTCATAATTCTCAAAACCCCTGACATCCGATTGTTTTTGCTGGTGCCAGAGTGATGCCATCACTTGATGACGTGAGCAGTAAACAAGGGTTTTATTGCCGAACTACTTCCACTTCACCTGTTTCCATCAGAGTCGTTCGTTTACTGTTCAAGTGATTTTGGCCTCAGTGTTGTAAAATTATTCACGTATTTGTCATTTTAACATTCACTCTTTTCGTAGAGTTGTGGTCCTGCGACCAAGGATTTTAGGACCTTATCAATCATTCGGGAAACTCCAAATGATACCCCCGGCTGTTTATCCGACATGACTCCCTCAATGAACAGTTTTGTGATCCAACAGAATCAGAAGGTGATCCATCAGAAAGGAGCTACTGAAACACGGCGGCAGCTCTGCTCCTCTCTTCCCAGCTCTGTACTGACTGGTTCTGGGGAAATACCGCTCGCCGATATGAAGGTGATGGTGACCTCCAAGGAAATTTCCGTAAGTTATTTGGAAGCTCACCACAGACTGTCAAACAAGTTTTCCTCTGCTCAAGGCTAATCACCACGTAGTGCCATATACCTAGGACCAAAAACATCCCCCGCGTGAATGAAACAACTGGATGGCCTACACCATTCCGGAAATGCACTGCACTGTCTATCGTACTTCAGCGTTTTCGTTAAAATCTTGCTGTGTGCACTTCCTAGAATCTAACACTCCTGCTCCAGTATGAGCTGGAAAATGCCCGGCATATTCTGTCATATAAAGGTAGTCTTGTTTTAAAGAGCCCAATCGACTGTCTTCTGCTGCCGACGTGTGCAACTACGCAGTCGCATTATGGAATGGTCACTTTATAGAACGGGTACGGTACCTACTGAGGCCATGAGGATTTCATCATTCCACCGGTTAATCCACCGTAGCTTTTCAAGATTTGACCTCCTGTTTAAGTTGATTCACTTCGACCTGAAAGGATTCGGACATTGTAGATACCTGTAATCCCCTGATCAAGGTGAAACTTACCCCAATGCATGTGTTATCTTGTCGTCAGCTAATATAGCTGGTTTTATTGCATATTGTTATCGATCTGCCCAAAGTTTATGTAAATACTGCATCTTTTCCGTTAATTTTCGTGACCACGTCGTTTCCCCAGGCGAACGGTCTACCAAACCACTTGCATACAAATTTCTTAGCTAATCTCCATTCATTCACGGGAGTAGAAGCATATTGGACTACTTTTGTTTCTGTCAAACTTTTTCTACTTTTTCTTCCTTTGTTTGATCGATAACAGTCGATGTAAGCCAAGTCGAACGGTTATGATTTTTGCACTTGTTTTCTTGACACAGTGTTTATGTTTCCCAGGAAATATAACACTATCTGTCACGTATACCGTGGCTTCCCGTTACACCAGTACTCGTTTAAACGATAATCCCTCCTACTCAGAATCGATATAGGTCTATCAGATGACTGAAAAGTGATTTTCACTGCCTATTTATCATGCTTGATCTGACGATGTTAACTTTAAGGTGGAATCTGAAACCAAACAATATATATTGTGTGAATCGAGTACCACCCTCTCGAATGGTGACGGGGAGTTTCCAGTGCTTAAATCTGCGAACAAATAATGGCTGACATCATGTTGCTTTCCACTAAAGGGTCATGCTACTGGATTTCCTTGAACATGTATCGCCTTTCTAGAGCAAAACATAGACAGGGGCTTCCCGCTGAGCGTTGTGCTAACTATTGCTGATTACTGGAGGCTGGTTTTTCTTCAACATTTCATAGTGAAAGCGAGCTTGGTACCCGGTACTCTCGGTTATCAGCACTTTCCTTCATGTCACACATGTCTTGTATACCATCGAGCCTGGTCATCATTAACTTGCTCCTTAAAATATCAGATAAGCACCTTCACAGATGGTGTCTTTTTCGTTCTCCATCATCGCTCGACTGAGGAGGGCATGTGTCAATTAGTGACCCCCTAGCAGTGAAGCTGTCTTTCATTGCTTCACCCAACGTACATCATTGTCCTGAAGCGAAGTTGGATCAGCCTATGGTTTTCACCGTGCTTGTGATAAGTTGACTTGGTTTGATTCTTTTGGTTTCGAGCTGGTCCATGAATCAGTGCAGGCTATCATCCATAACTGGATGGTTCGTCTGTTGCCAAGTCCATGCGTCCTCACTCCACGTAGTCTGTCTATCAACTGATTCACCTTTTCTCGTCTCACTGCTATGCCTCACGACAGTTTAGTACGACTCCGTTATATTCAATCGATCGGAATATACACTCGATTCTTTGCAGCCCCCAACTGGATGCACGTCTAACAAGCCTACACTTACAACTTTTGTCCTTGGAAGTATCCAAACCAATACTCCGCACACGATACCATGTAATCCAACTCATGTGATCCCTCGTAGGACTCGGATTTGGAATCGAAGCTCGGTTTCTTCAGAGGTGGAGAAATGTCCGTTTTATTTAACATATTTAATCGGAGCCTCAACCTTGTTGGGTGCTTAATTGGGACACACGGAAAGTTTCAATGGCACTCTTCCGTCTCGCAAGCATTTATGGAAGCTAAATTTCTTTTCTAAATTTCCAAGTTTTCGTCGATGATTAATTTTTACATCTTATTTACCCATTTCTAGCAACGTTTTCAGTCAGGAGATCCCATTTATGCAACATTAGCATCCCGTGAAGCTCACCAATGGTCGGCGCCAACAAGAGTCCAAAATTTCACCTCTGAGTGTTATCTACCAGAGAACAACACCAAACAGACCGGAAGTTCACTACTTGCAAGGATTTTCCGTCGTATGAAGGTGGGGCCGCTCTAAACCTACCTACATGTTCTGATGTTCGACATATCGCGAGCGTGTGTTGCGAAGCTCAGATATTCACATAAAGAAAATTTTTTGTCTATTGAGTCTGAGCTTATCAAGTGCCATACTTTTCTGCCAGTGCACTTTCCGGCCTTGATTGTCTCGTAAATTTCTAATCTTTTTTCCAACCTGGCAGCTTTATTATCTATGGATCCAACACCCCATTCTACGGCAAGTGATCCTATTTAAAGCATATCAGTATACCTGAACCTGAGGTCAATTGTCAGATGTGGTTACACTAGTTAATCTTCCATAATAATTACCACGAACTCTTCTTCATCACTTGCCAAAAACCCGTCAATGTATTGTGTGCGGAACTCTCTTAGTTCCCCTCCCAAACAGCCCGGTGACGCAGATTGGATGTCGAAACCCTGTGGCCACTCCTGACTGTGGTTGAATCAGATACAAACAACAGGAGATTTAGGTTCCGATGCTCCCGACCCTGATATCTGATTCTATTGCATAGCGAGAGTTAAGCTCATCTCTATGTGTTCTAAACCTTCGTCCCTCGGAATCCCGGTCGCTTCCAATCCAACCGAATTTACTTGCATGTTCACGAAGGCATACTGAAGAGGGTGTATTGTGGTCTCAATACTTTTAACCGTTGTCTTTGTGCGATTGTTTTTATATATGTCGAGGAGCAATGGATGCCAACCTAGCTCAATGACCGAGATAGCAAGCCATATTGGTTAAAAAGACCGACGAATGTCGAGAGCGAAAGTAATCAGTTTGGGGAAGATGAAGTTACCCTTGTTGGAGAAACAATCTCATTACAATGAGGGTCATTAAATAGAGTGCTGGATATCGGGACTACAAACGGACATGTTTCGAGGAAGCACTCTTCAGTCCATATGTAATGTTGCGTTGAGTGAATCGAGCAGACGGGATTTATTCGTCATCAGTCGGCGAGCATTCGTATCCTTCTTAGATCCGGAAAGTCTCCATTTGTCATTCGAAGATAAGTGAACCTGCGGTAAAAATGATGGATCATCGGCAACCCGGAGTCCCATGAATGAATGGAAGCCCGCAACCTTCAGCAGAAGATCTCACGGATCACAAGGCTTGTAATCGCAGTGCTGGTCGGTCACTCATAACTCCAAGGTGTGTTTTTTTGTCCCCTGTCCTGGAGATGCTGATGAGTTAAAACCACACGCCCGTTAGTTGCTGCTTCGCCTTTTAATATAGGTCTCCCCACGCACAAGCGTCTCCGGGCGTTCAAATAGGATACTTTTGATGGTAAGTTGCGTGTCCTGTTTGACGAAGGACTGCTACTAGTGATAGCGATGTAGCTTGTTGGTTGACTAACTTTGCATTGTCAGCGCCAGCTGTTGGAGGAGCGAAATAGGCTTCCAGTTTCCTTGTGGAGCTTCATCCTACCATCTCTCATTCGCTTGCACTCAGTCACGCTTTGTCACTCATCAACTCATCCTCAAGTTATTGGTCTTGATTTTTTGGTAAGCTAACAGCTCCAGGAATCCTTTGCTTCACCATAAGGTTACTAAACTCCTAGCGATCGTTTGCTGCGGTTCTTTCTCAACGTGTTGAACCCCGATCTAGGATGGATAGCGCCCGAGCATGTCATGTTTTCAACCTCAAACCTGCTTTCGCCTTACTGTTTTGATCTGAATTTTCACCGAAGATAATCTAAGATTTCTCTTGCGTTTCCTTATTCCAAAGATTAAGGGTAACAGCACTCCAATTACAAGCACAGGGCAGCACAAAAAAACGAAACAAGTACTCCTGGGCAAGCATTTTCCTGTTCACATTGCATCGAATCCACGTGTTATTTCAACGGAGTCGGGACATCCACATATGAACGTAACTCAATCCGGATGGCCCGTATTGAACCTTCAGACATCCCAATTTGCACCTCAGCAAGATACGATGAGGGTAATACCAATGGATACTCTGAATTCACTTCCACGTTTGAATTCACTCCGTAAACGTTCGAAATCCGATGAATCGCTTCTACAACCCGTACAAAACTTTCAAATGGTTAAGCTGGATGTTCCCCCGAGAACAGCACGACTGCATGCTCCCATGTCAAGAGCGCTTCACCGGCGGTCCATTGACGATCCCATGCGACGGCACAAATTTTAGCTTCTGGTAGGTATTACTTATTTAGTATAAGGTCATTCTTTGCCGAACTCTGGTTTGGGCCTCGACTGGAAGTGACAGACTCCCAGTCTAATTGGCTGATCTAACTTTTTCCGAGTAGTTGTGAGATTTTTTGGCTTTCGAAGCCCCATGCGACGGCACAAATTTTAGCTTCTGGTAGGTATTACTTATTTAGTATAAGGTCATTCTTTGCCGAACTCTGGTTTGGGCCTCGACTGGAAGTGACAGACTCCCAGTCTAATTGGCTGATCTAACTTTTTCCGAGTAGTTGTGAGTTTTTTTGGCTTTCGAAGCGCGATGCAAGCGCTTCTGGTGTCTGCCACACCAATTTTTATTCGATCCACCCTATTCATCGACCCTTACACTTTCACTTTAACTGCCAGTGTGCTTTATGTTTGGGACCGATGAAAGTTACTGAAATGTCAACACATTGCGATTTATGTATGTTCATTGCAATGGTAAAATCAATATAGCAGTACCCAACGCTGTAAGTGGAAATGACCATCAACTTGTCAGTTGCAAATATTTACAACAAGCATCAGAGGCAGGCACTTTTTTGACTTTCTGATACCTTTAGTTGGGTGTCCACCGTTCTACATTTTTTGGGGAAAGCCCCTTCATCTATATCAGTCGAAAACCTGTAAGCACAAAAGTTCGAAATTTTGCTTACATTTCGCACTATACTTTCCTGTTTCAGTCCGACCGCGAGATGCCCAATAGACAGTTACTTGGACCTCAGCTTTTATCCATCACATCAAACTCGGTGTTCTCTTTTGTAAGACCGGCAATCTTAGCGACCTTTTTAAAACCGAAAGACTATTTTGCTCGTTTTATTTTGCCTTTTTGGCTAAACTCGATACGATTTTGTAGAAAAAAATTCATAAATAAACTGATCAACAGCGCATATCAGGTCGGCTTGATAGTGAAAACTGGAGGCCTTGGGTAAATTCTAATGTACGCTGGTTGTTCGTCAGAAAAATAACATGCTTTTACCGTAGGTTTCACAATGAGTTCATTGTGGTTATACAGTGTATCCCCCTCTCCTTAGTATGGGTTTTCATCTCAAAGGGACCCACTCGCCTCGTTGCTGTGACCCCAAGCCATTGAATTTATGCGCCAGTCACCCAACCTCCCCAAAGGACTCTGTAAAGCTTGTCACTTTTTCCTCCATTGGCCTTCAACAAGTCTTTTCCTTCCCCATATCAGGGGAATTAAACGTTATCCTGCGCCTGTCTAACCACTGTGAAAAAGGATTTGTGACCACCACAGTTGGCCCCATCGGTTACCCTCAGTATACATCACAAGCGGGGATCATTGAACTTGACGATGAAACCATCACGTTTTTGTGACTTTTATGTTATGTCAAACTGCCGGGCATATCTGTAGAGGAGCTTGACGTTGGACACAGTGGTTGTCCTATTCGAGGCACCATATAGCAATATTCATGTGCCGATCGCTGGATGGGTTTTTACATCTGTGTGTTGCTTCTGTTATGTTGAAAAAGTCTGTGGTCTACCGCTTCATAAGTTGGTGGAAATAATTGTTCATTAGAGACTAAGTGATTAGATCCTGATTTGGTAAGGATATGGGGAACACCGCGTTGCACTTGAAAATGTGGATCGACTTACTCAGCGAGCGAATCCACATCCAGAATAAAATGATCAGATAAAAGATGAATTCGATCAACCAGGTATCGTTAGGAGTACATTCTGATAGATGCCAACGGTATTGGGCCTGTGGTTATCTTATTGAAAAACGCAGTGTAAAAGGACGACGAACACCAGTTTTTATCGAGACGTCCAAAAATACTAGCTAGTGAAAGATTCAGTCAGGTTTTATCCTATGTGATACACCGACTGTTGACTCGGTGTGCACAACTCACATGGGAAAGCAATTCTCCCTCAGATAAATTTAACCAGTGGAACAAGACAACTGAAACTTAAACCTCCCTTGGTGTAGCAAACAATATGTGCGCAAACGAACGACGTAGATGATATATATACATTCATTTGCAAACTAATTTGGTTTTTCGAGAGACTCACATGGAACCCAGCTGAACCGCTCGTTTGTGATGTTTCCCGGCAACTGAATGTGCTGCACCAGGCCGCCTCATGTTTCATTCGCTACGATATTCGAGATATCGCGATACATGTATATATTTGTAATGTACTGCCCATAAGGTTGCTGAAACTCCGTCGACAACCCACGATCGGTTTCGTCCTTTGCCTGGAAACATCACAAACGAGAGGTTCCAGGTGAGTCTCTCGAAAAACCAAATTAGTTTGCAAATGAGTGTATATTCCGTAATTCCGTGCAATTTGGTTTCAAGTAGAACATAAGGTTGACGGAAACCCAGGGACGTAGATGATGGTTTTCACTAACTAATGAAAGTGAGGGCCGTCTGAACGTGCAGGCCGAAGATTTATGACTCAGGATGATAGCAGTTGGATGCGTAGATGCGGAGCTATGCTGGAGTCAATAAGCATCTTGATTTGAAGCGGAATCCCAACTTAGACAAGGTGGATTGTTTTATTCGCATATGGCGAATTTCTTCATATAGACAAGGTAAGTCGAGAGGTATTCGCCGAAAAAACCAACGCATCGGTTGATCCCACCAAAATGGGGCTCTTTTGGTGCACCACTTTGCAGTGCCGAAAATCACTCGGCTATCTGAAAGCAAATCATCAGTCTAATTTTGTGTTAGTTAAACACGAGGATTTTTGCGTCCAGTTTCCTTGAAGCATAAGCATTACTTGGGTAGCCTTTTTAAGCTATCACAGTATGTGGCCAACCGAAAAGGGTCGGATCCTGAGTGCTTATCTGCCATTTCACTGTGGTTCGGCTATTTTGCTTGCGTCGGTTTTGTGACTTTTGTTTTTCATTTGACTGTAATTGTGGATCACAATAGCTGTTTTCCACGTCTTGACAAAATAGACAGGCCAAACCAGTTGAGGTCAACCCAAGGCCCTGAACTGGGGCCATTTTGAAATGTATTCAAGACCTTTGATAAACGGCTTTAGTTGCTTTTCTGTCTAAATACGCCACTACATCCGTTTCATTGTCTCTGGCAACCGGTTTTGCAAAACTGTAAGCTTATCCTCGAAAAAGTCGTCGGCGCCTACGTAAAAACACTCTCACAAAGCACTAAAATCCATGAAATTTGCTAACCCTTTAGTGCACGCAAAAATGGATGGTAGCTTGGTAGTGTTATAAATGAATAACTGGCATCTCTGCAAGATGACGTAGCAATCAACTTTCGGGTTTAAATTTGGGCAGCATAACGCTACAACTACAGGTATTCAAAAGTTCAAACATCTGGTCGTAGAACGCACCATATAACGAAGTCCGTGTGCGTTAGTAGACTGTGAACGTAGCTGCGTTGAACAGATGGGTTTACGTGTGACTTGGCCATCGTGAATTCGTCAAACTTCTACCACATCAGGATGTAACTGCCCGTATACTAGCTTGCAACACTCCAAAGAAACTGATCATGGGCTTTAAACCTGTAAAGGAATCCAGCCCTTTCTGAAAAGCGGAAGCGTCTTAGGGATGTTTTTTTCTTTTTCACTGAACTTCATCTGCGATGCGCATCCCTCGCAGCTGCGTGTTTCCCGTGCCCGCGACCCCTGGCTAGTAATTTGGACAATTAATCGCTGAACCCCGAGCGGGGGATCGGCACTGTGATTAGCTCGCATACAGACAGAATATAGTGCCACTGATCCTCCAATCCCGGAATGCATGTCACATAGTCACAGTGGTCACTGGATGTTCTGAAACTTCCTGAAGTTTCGTGCGATGGGTACTGCTGGTGATTCCCGGTTAGGATGATATACATACTTGTACACTACTCCACCTCTACAGCATAGATTTGGATCTACTTACAGGGTGTAATCTCCATTAAAAATTCACAAATCTCACACTCCCAAAAAAGTGGCATTTTGCTGCTGCTTTCACTAGGCTAGTGTCTCGCTTCCCGTCAGTTTGCAATTGCCTATTTCCGTTTTCATAGCAGACCTTTACCCTCGTCTGAATTCATGACAACAGTGCAGAAAACGTTCCACAACATTCACTTTAATAGTTTTACGGTAACCTACTGTACAAAAGCCTTCTGATGATTCACAAATGTTCTTTTGTCCCCGTCACTAAACGAGTATCTGAGTCACAGTGCCGCTCCCGCAAGTTTCAAACTGATAAATAAATCGATCAAACTGCTTCAGTCACCTGGACTATGTCTAGCTATCCATGTGCGTTGCACATTGTATGCCGTTTGCTTTAATGAGGTGAATCCTCGTTACAATTGCGATAAAAGTTGGACTACAATTACAACCAGTGATATAATTCAGACACCTGTGTAGCACAGTGAGTCACAACTAAATGGGGTTGTCTAAGGTCATCATATTACTAAGGTCAGTCCTGTTCTAGCGAAGCAGTCGATACAGAACATGCTTCCATGTCACTTAAAGTTGATTAGTATCTGTTAATGGCGCTTTTCGCAAGGGAAAGCGAAAGTTCTCATCATGAATCTTACCCACCTGATCTGTCTGGAAGTTTTGATCGACTCTGATGTGTGATTCGCCTCCTGATGTGCCATTTCAATGTGTGCTTGGAACGGTTGCTTACGAGTTACAGACTCTTAGTTGCTTTCGGGTGTTACATAATAATAAATCTTCAGCCGTAACATCCTTTCGGTGCCTGGCTTTCATGCTATCCAATGACTACATGAGTAGCCGAGATGCGGAGGTCGGGTTCGAACCACGAATCTTCTTACTGTAATTTCGTTGCTTACGAGTTACAGACTCTTAGTTGCTTTCGGGTGTTACATAATAATAAATCTTCAGCCGTAACATCCTTTCGGTGCCTGGCTTTCATGCTATCCAATGACTACATCAGTAGCCGAGATGCGGAGGTCGGGTTCGAACCACGAATCTTCTTATCTGTAATTTCGCGCCGTAACCACAGCTAACTCGATCTCTTCTCGGTCTGCCACTGTGCTCCTACTAAACGCTGCCTCATTGTGCGGGATAATTCCGTTCTCACGGTAAAAATCAAAACGATCTGTACATGAAACTGATAGTCGAACCAAACAGACTATCCGGTTCACTCAGCCGATCAGCAAATTCACTTTCTTTGGTGATGTAAGGGGATTGAGTCGCTGGTGTCATCGTTGACCGCTAGTTGCACGAACGACCTCAGATAAAGCGGTCTAGGCTGATGCCGTATACATCGTTTGTGTTATTGTTAGAGCCGCACACATCTGAGTACACTGCACATTTGCGCTCAACATATCAGTTAGGCTATAATGTGGGCATATTATAGCAAAGAACTACCTTTCATCTGCCTACTGAAGAATTCCAACTGGGCTAACAGCAGGCGACCAATCAATCCATGGTGTTTTGTAAACTGATCAGTCATCGCCTTGTACACCCAACCCACACATCAGTCATACCACCATCATCATTGTATGCAAAGATAAGTGAAGAGGGTAGACGTGGGGAAATTAACGGCAAAGCACTTGTCGCAGTTATTACATCACCATGCCTAGTAAGTGTGACTTGTTTCAGCAAGTTTTACACTCAAGTCAGTCATACGTCACATGCCATACGTCAAGCAAGGGTGCGATTAATAATCTACGAGTTAATCATATCCTCCAGTAGTGTTGTATGAAGTAAGAAGCAGTAAAGACGCTGAAAAACGTAGCTGCAGGAATGTTCACCCAGATGGTTGGACTGGTCCTATTCAAGGTCAAAGCTCAATCTGGCGTCAGGACAAGCAGCTGTCGACCTGATTTGAACTACGAAGAACACAGCTTATCTGTTCGGCCGATGAGGCTGTAAAATACCTCATTTTCTGGCCAGATGACGTATGTCAACAACAAAAGACCCAACCATGTTGCAGAAAACAGT